GGGAGGAAGAAAGGACGAGGAGGGTTGATGGAAGGAGCAGGGGAGGGGGGGAGGGGTTGAGAACGAGGGGGGAGGAGAGAGAGTGGGGCGGGAGTGGGGGGAGGGAAGGCAGGCGGGCGGGCGGGCGGGGAGGAGAGGAGGTTTTAAGATGGGTGAGTCTGGCTGTGGCGGCGGCGTGTCGGGGAGGGAGGGGGGGAGGGGGGAGGAAGGGGGATGACTCACGAGTCGGGTCTCATGTCGGTTCACAGTTGTAGATCATCTGTGTCAGGGCTTTCTTGGCTTCTTTTATTTTCTATTTGGTCTTATGAATGCGACGAGAAAATGTCCCTGACAGTTTATTAAATTCTACCAAAGAAGGTTATCAGATGAGGGGTGGGTATTGTGGACAGCTAAATATAACGTGTAATGATCAGTCTTAATTACTCTCAGTAGTGTTGTTGCGCCGTGACTGACCCGCTCGACTGTAGCTCTTGTTATCCGTCGGAGCATATTAGTGTAGAGATCTGTGAATGGTGTTCGGGCAGGTGTCACAGGTCGTCTAAGTGGCCGAGTAATTCACCTTAACACCCGCTTAGTTATTCTAATCCTCACCCATCGCTCGTCGGCCGCCGAGCCACGCCTGCTGGCCGCCGTCTTCCTCCTCCTCCTCCTCCTCCTCCTCCTCCTCCTCCTCCTCCTCCTCCTCCTCCTCCTCCTCCTCCTCCTCCTCCGCCTCCTCCTCCTCCTCCTCCCCCTCCTCCTCCTCCTCCCCCTCCTCCCTCCTCCCCCTCCTCCCCCTCCTCCTCCTCCTCCCTCCCCCTCCTCCTCCTCCTCCTCCTCCTCCTCCTCCCTCCTCCTCCTCCCTCCTCCTCCTCCCCCTCCTCCTCCTCCTCCCCCTCCTCCTCCCCCTCCTCTTCCTCCTCCTCCTCCTCCTCCTCCTCCTCACCTGTGAAATAGTCCTCGTTTATCATGGCTCCATCCAATATCTGTAAGTCGGTCCTTGGCCCACGTGTGCTTTGCCGGACCATCTTAGTCTGGCGGTGCTTCATCTGCGGGCCACTCGCGCTGCAACACATTGTTCACAGCTGTGCCATGTTCCGTGATCCTCTACGGTGTAATCGCCTTGATCCGTCACAGGCCCATAGCTCTTTCTTGAGCCTACGATCTACAGATGTATGACAGAAATAAGATAAGTATAAGAAGCCCCTGCCATAGCTTGGCCCAAGACATCGCAGCTTTTGTGCTCTGACTACTGACATTACCCCTACCTATATCAATCACTTCGCAAATAGCTTTTTACAAACGGTAATGAGGAGACGATAGATAAATTGAAGGTCGGGTGGAGTAGCTCCCCCTCTCCTTTCTCCCCTCCTCGCCCCTCCCGACAGACGCGAAAACCTTTGATTCTCTTGTTTGCGGCCTCTGCCTCCTCCCCCCCCCTCCATAACCACCCTTTCCCTTTGTCTGAGCCTCAGTGTTGTTGTCTCACATTCCTCGGGAAATGACCAACGGCGCTACATGTTGTGAGGATCAGGGGTGTAGGTGGGGATGGGGTTGTAACGGGGGCGTGTTGGAAGGAGGGTTGGGTTGGGGGTGGGGGTGGGGGGGCGAAGGGATGATTAGACTGATCATAGGAGCGAGGGTGGCGAATTGGGGGATACAATAGAGAGGGCGCTGTGCAGATGCAGGAAGAACCGGGGGAAGTGCGGAAGGAATGAGGGAGAAGAGTTGCTGCCAGCTGGGAGGGGAACTGGTTGAGAAGGGCGGACACGGGGCTTGTATGACAATCTGCTTTGATTGTTTATAATACACATCTTTTTCACTGCGACCCGATGTTTACCTTTCGCGATGATTGCGTGGTCGCGGAGCAGGCCCATGACGCAGTGGAGATGTGTTGTGGTGAGCGATAGTGGTGTAGTATATCCGCCATCCGACACCACCATAGCCTAGTGACAGGGCAGCGTAGTGTATCTACGGGCATCGAATCGAGCGCGCCCCTTGTCCTGCACGTAGGACGCTCGCTGCTCGCTATCATGGCCGATTTCTTTGGTCACGGTGCCAGGTCGGCCGGGCGCGATGTCCTGACAGCTGAACAAGCCAACAGGCAGCTATCGAAAAAAGTGTCAGATTACGAACATCGGGAGATAGACAGACGAGGACAAAGATAGTTAGCCAGTCCGGCATTAAGTAGCTAAAGCAGACAGACAAGTCAAGGAGACAGACTCATTGGCAGACACAGTTAAGTGCAACGATCCCCAAGGGAGACGTATAGATAAGTATTGATTTGTGAAAATAATGATTGGGAATTTATTACGCTGATTAGAGGTGCCGGAAGCACAGTAAATCTCCACGGTGCCTCACGGATGGCAGAGATACGCGGTTGCTTGTTTTGTTGCTTCGCCCAGGCTGCTGTGGATCTGGCGTGCTGTTTCAAGGGAAGGAGTACATGGTGCGTCCAGCCAGTGGCAGTGGAGAGGAGGGATGGGGGCTGCCAAGGTCAGTCTGTTCGACCCAAGCATTATTACCTGACTGATTTGATCGCACTGCCAGTAGCATTGCACTCGCAGCATTTCAGACAGCTTTTCGCGAATGATTTTAAATGGGCCGCGCTATTTGCTGGATTCGATATGCAACATAACGGAAAGTGTACTAAATCACACGGCGGGTTTCCGTGAAGTTCAGTTGTGCCAAATCAAAGTGCAAGATCAGAGTTGAAGGAGAGTCTTACATTTGGCTGGTGAGTGACCAGTTTGATCGGGTGAAGACGAAGCATATACCGTTATAGTAGACAAGAGAACATACAGCGGCGTAGTTGTAGAGGGAGGCAATGTAACAAACTCTCACACAGCCAAGTTTCGAGTTGTTTGTTTTCGCAGCTCCTAATCTCCACTCTTATCCGTGGCATTTCTGGGCGAATGCGTGCGTCGCGACCGGCACCTCAAGACCTCCATTGTCGTGCTGATATTTTATGGTGTCAAAGAGTTCAAAAGTAATTCGGATCCGCCTGTATGGCCCGCCGCGCTGCCTCCTGGCGACCCGACCAGAAGACCGCGGTCAGAAAATAAGCGAAACTTTTTACGAAGGTTAATGTAGTGTGGGCGTGTCAACATGTTGTGGTTGGGAGTGTTGGCGGTGCAGCGCTTGTGTCAAGTACAGTTTGTGGCAGCTCCAAGGACACCGTTAATGGCAGTGTCTCGACGCTGTTATACCAAAACACCGCCTGCTCCCCCCCCCCTCTTCCAAGTATAGGGATGGGCAGAGTGGGGCCGCCGCAGTGACAGGGGGAATTAGCGCAAACACGCTACCATTCACTCTTTCGCCCACTCCATTCACTCACTCACTCACTCACTCACTCACTCACTCACTCACTCACTCACTCACTCACTCACTCACTCACTCACTCACTCTTCCATTCATTCACTCATTCACTTATTCATTCACTCATTCATTCTCCACCTTTCACACATCTCATTTTCTCTCTCTCTCTCTCTCTCTCTCTCTCTCTCTCTCTCTCTCTCTCTCTCTCTCTCTCTCTCTCTCTCTCTCTCTCTCTCTCTCTCTCTCTCTCACGCACACGCACACGCACACGCACACGCACGCACACACATTCTTATTTATCCTTGTTTCATGTTCATCCTCGTTTCTTATTCATCCTTCTTTCTTATTCAATCTTGTTTCTTATTCATCCTTGTTTCTTATTTACGTGTTCGTCTTTGTTTCTTATTTATCCTTATTCACCCTTGTTTTATATTTATCCTTGTTTCGTGTTCATCCTCGTTTCTTATTCATCCTTGTTACTTGCCCATCTTTGTTTCGTGTCCATCCTTGATTCGTGTTCACCTTGTTTCGTATTCATCTTCGTTTCGTGTTCACCTTGTTTCGTGTTCACCTTGTTTCGTATTCATCCTTGTTTCGTATTCATCCTTGTTTCTTATTCATCCTCGTTTCTTATTCATCAGCCTTGTTTCGTAATTATCCTGGCCGTGGCATTTCCGTAGCCAGCCGTTTATCGTTACTTTTAACTACACAAATTTGGGTGAGGCTTCCCACTTATATTATCCTGTTCTTATTTCTGTTTCCTGTTAGTCTGTGTATTTAGGTTTATTTGAAGTTCGACTCTCTCTTTCTCTCCCTCTTCCTCTCCTTTTCCCCCTCTCCCTCTTCCTTCATTTCCCCTTCTCTCTCTCTCCTTCTCCTTTGTTCCCTTTTCTCCCTCTTTCCATTTCTCCCCTCTCTCCCTTCCTTCGGTATCTCCCTCCCTCCCCTCTCTCTCTTCTCTGCCCTCTCTCCCTTCCTTCGGTATCTCCCTCCCTCCCCTCTCTCTCTTCTCTGCCCTCTCTCCCTTCCCTCTTAATTCATCTCTTTTCTCATTCTTGTGCCCCTTCCCTCTCCACCCTTCATCTCTCTCTTTCTCGACTCATGAATTTTTATTTCCCTTTAGATCTCTCTTTCCAATGGTCTCTCTCAAGTCTCCTTGCCTTTGTTTCCTCTCCGACGCCTCCACACTCCAAATCGACCGTCTCCCAGCGTATTGATTTATGCACATACATACGTGAAGCGCGTGGCGGCATTATTTCCCCGTAAGTCAATCCAGGGTACACGGCGCCTCGTATCGTGTGTGTGTTCCCAGGTTCGTCAGGCTTCCTGTGTCAGTATTTTTTTTGTTTCTTTTCTCACGTGATGTGATTGTCCGCTTGGTATTTGTGTTATCTTTCTAGCTCTTCCTTTCCTCTTTCACTCTCCCAAATGTCACCTTTGTTGGACGCCGGTGTTCCTTTGGTGGAAGTTGGTAGGCCCGACGTTCCCTGCCCCGAGGCCCTCCCCGCTCCCAGTCCACACCCCGGTGACAGCCCCACCCCCTTTGCTTCGACTTGCCGGCTCGTCTGGCGCCTGTCTGTCCCCACGCCCTTCCCCCCTCCCTTCCTCCTTGCACGGTAGGCCTAACGTTTACACGCTCTTCAAAGCGATCGAATGTGGTGAATGACGTATCTAATGCTGTTGTTTTTTTTCTTCTTTTCCAGTTCTGTGCGCGAAGAACCTGTCCAAGAAGGATTTTTTCC